CAGCTAACATCAGCACTGTGGGTTCTGCCACGAGTCTCTCTTTAATTCCCACTCAGTGTCTTTTTCCAACACTCTTTCTCTGTCTTGGAATTCTTTCACCACCGTCTCTCACTCTCTCACACACACACACACATATGCAAACACGGCTCTCTGTCTTTTAATCATCTCCACTCACTCAAACGTATCTGTTTTATTATTTATCCATGCCATTTTCTCTCCTAACTCACACAGTATATACAGCAGCGTGCAGACACTGACACCCACACACATTCCTGTATGCAACTTACACAAACACACAGATTTGTCGGTCTGTTTACACAGTTCACTGGGCAGCTAATCTTTATGGAACTGCTGACTGAAGCCTGTCTTTTGTCCAAAAACGCTTTAAAAAAACAGTCAGGTGACTAATCAGGCCACATTACAACAGCAGCTAGATCGCTGCCTTAAACTGCGCGGCCCCTCCTGTGAATCCTACCCAGGTGGTGCCAGGGAAAGTACTAATGACATCACCACATGGGTTTCAACAAAGACAAGCATTCCTCACTCAGTCATAATCCACTGTGTTAATATACAGCCCGACTTCAACCAGACAAAACCAGTCAAGAAGCTTTTCTCTCACGCCTCTCGCTCCCTCCCTGCGCCTCTCTCTCTCTCATCAGCCTCACTTTTAACTCTTTTTTTTCAAGCTCACCAGCAAACACCTTCAAGGCCTTAAAACAGATCCAACTCTGTGTGTTTAGGAAGTGTGAGCTGATTTGACAATAAGACACTTGACAATATATTTCCAGCATATTTTGCCAGGAACTCCCACGCCTTGTCTTCTGCTTTTGTCAAATGACTTAAGGAACTTGTCATGAGCTGATTTTATTTTTCCATTGGTACTAAGAGGTCATTGTTTTAAAGATACACAAAGGTAGTCTTCAAAATCTGTTTTGAAAAATCAACCAATTTCAAGGATTTCCTGGAATTGTATAACTTCTTTTTGTTGCTATATTCCGCTTTAGTCATTTTTCTAAAACTCAATTTTAGCAGCCGAAAATTAACTCTAATTCTTAAAGGCAGAATACAAGTAGAAGAATTGTTACAAACGCTGTTTATTGAAGCTTATATAAGAAATTGAGTTGTAAGCCTTGTTAGCATGATCAGTGTTCAATTGTTTATGGGCCAACAACAGCGTTATAAAATACATTCCTTCCCTTTTAATAATTAATTGTCTGGTCCCTTAGGGGCAGCTGTAAATATAGCATGGATATATTATCACCCTTTCAGTTGATATGACATTTGGAGTTTGTGACCACCTTGCAAATGTAAGTCTATTTACTCTCTTTTAGCTCTGATTTTGGTCTCCACATGGACATATCTGTCTCTTTGACTGCTAAATGGCCCACTGTGTTCACCAGCTGCTACAGGGTCTGTCATGAAGTTTGGTTAAAGACATTAAAGGAGCTATATGTAAGAATTTTTGTTTAAAACATTGAAAAATGAATTAAAACTATCAATTAAATGTGAAGAATTAACCGTTTTGATGTTATGTCGTAGACGTATTTATACTGTGTTGCAGAGATATATACTGAAGTTAGCATACCAGCTAGCCCCAGCTCGTCCCACTGCTGTAGAGACAACTCTTAGTGGGTAAAGGGATTAAGTTTGATGCTAAACTTACAACATTTCTACTAGACTGGTAACAGCTGTTAATGCTAACATTAGCTATTTAATGATTATAAAAGTAAAATTAGCTAATTGTATAACGTTACTGACTATGTTAATGTGTTTGCTAAGTTAGCTGTTTGTTGAAAGAAAGAAAGACTCATGGGAGGGACTAATGATAGGGGCAGACACCCTAACCTTCTGGTGATATGTTGTCCCCAATTAGTTTGGAGTATGAATTTGACAGGTGATCAATTCTTACATGAAGCTCATAGCTTAGCTTCTAATAACTTTGCTGACATTTCATCAAGCACAACCATCAGGTTTAATTTGTCCAATACTTTGTTCAACGGCCTGCAAAACTTGACATTCCCTTCAGCTTCAGTTGGACTTTGAATTAAGTGCTAAACACGCTAAACTAAGATGGTGAACAGGGGAAACGTCAGACCTTTTAAGCATCAGAGTGTTAACATTGTATTTGTGAGTGCAAGCATGGCTGTAGACTCTTCAGAAAAACTGCTGCTTGAGCGTGAGTGGAGCAAAATAGTAAACCTGCAGGCTGTAAAATCAAAACACAGAGCTAAAGCTAAAACGCTCCATAGAGATGAAAGGAACTGCAGAGTCAGGTGATAATTCTCTGTGAGTCTGTGATTACAAGAGACCCTGTTCACATACAAGCAATCCTATGACCCATTGTTAATAAAAAAATATTGATTATAACTGCTCTATTTATAATTCCACTCATGTCGATGTGTAATCACTCTACTTGTGTGTCTGTTTGCGTGAGAAGGAGTGCACTGGATGATTGTCATGCTCCAATCTTTCACACAGATGAAATACAAACAACATCATCAACTTCTGTGTCAGGCTACGGCCCCTCATCTCAGCACATTCACACTGTGACCTTTCACCCTTGACTGTAAACATGCAGTTATGACCCTCTGGCTGTTGTTGTTGTTGATATTATTGAGATCTCTCACAGACACTGATGTCCAGATGGGTGCAATCACATTAGCCCCTTAATAAATAAACAAATATTAATAATTCTTTTAAATCCATCAGATATTGGGAGCATAAATGCCACGGATAACTAAGTTTGATGTCCCAACATATCTCATCTAAAATAAAGATGACGCGGGGCTGATGTCCTTGTCATGTACCCGCAGTGTGAATGTGGACCAATTCTTTTCTGCCCTGTTTATGTCACTGCTCTGTATTCCTTATTTATTTTTATAACAAAATCTAATCAAAATCAATTACGGGAAGTACGCAGTGCGGTGAAAAATAAAGATTGAGGGACATTTTTTGTGTTTTGTTGACCTAAATAATGCAAAACAAGAAAATAATTTTAAGGCTCATGTCTTACATTTAGTTTTTCAGCTCCTTGTCATTGTTTTTTTTTTTACTTTTTCAACCTTCCTAAACAGCAAGTGAAACAATACCCAGCAGGCCTCACAAGATAAGTCACTGACGCTCAGGAAGGTTTCCCTTCCCTTTCTTTTTTCTGCCTTTTCCTCCACGGGTCACTTCTATGAACAACTCTCCCACTCACTACCATCTGCTGTACACACACCTACATACACAAATAAACAAACATGCATATGACCATCACAGTGCTCCCACACAGGATATGCAAATGACTCTTTGACGCTACACAGTATTTAGCAACTAACTTCCTTCATTGGTAAGGTCACCTCATTCTCCCTCACATTATGCAGAATTTTCTGAGATATTTGTTGTTGTAAAAGTCTATTATCTGAACTAATCAACCCAGTGGCCGTAAATACTGACTTACTCAGGATAAGCCTGCAAATAACTCAGTCATACACTTCCTGTTTTTGAGCACGTAGTCGGTGACCTCAGGAGGAGGAGCACAGGATGTGCTCCAAGTGAAAGATACAGATAGAGATTTCCTAGATAGTTTTAATTAAAACACATGTTTAACTTTGGCAGGAGGGGATGGGATGCATCTGTTGTGCAAGTGTTGCGTTGTTTGTTCTAGATGAAATAATTGGGTGTAACGCCTGATCCCCTTCTTCCACTGCGAACAACATAATTTCTTTAATATTCGTGTTATTTACTGCTCTTCTATTCTTTTTTTTTAAGCTCCAATGACACTGATAATTAGTCTTTCTCTGTCATTTTTTTTCCCTTTTTGGAGCTTAAAGTGTGATTACATTGGTCGCATTCAGCAGTATACTGTGAGTAAACAACAAAGTCGTGTGAGAATTGTCACATCGGTATTTTTCTTCAAATGTTTATCTGGTCAACAGATGTCATCTGTGGTATTCAAATACTCTATAATAACCAGCATCTCTGATGTGATCTGATCACACAGTTTTCATCAACACTATACTCACCCAGGCATTTTGCCATACTAACTGACGCACTATAATTATAATACTGTAACTTCCCTTGTGGTCCACAGCCCTCACTTTGGTCACAAGATATTTAACTATCGTAATGTTTCATAACACAGTTTTGGTTTGTTTTGTGGACTTGAGAGAATGAGAAGTGAGACATACGCCAGACAGCATTTACTCTAAATGTGTCTAGAAATTGCTCAATCCGTCTGTCATCACCAAACTGACTTGTGGCAGGCCTGAGATTTATTTATACTAGCTGTTTGGATGTGTTTGTTTATTTGTTTGTTTGTTTTGTAAATGACCCGACTTGGTATAGCGGTAGGTTTGCCCAAATATCTTCCGCTTTTTCCTCCCTAGGCAGACAGGCTTTAGACCACAGACCCACTTTAGATAAGATTTTGTCAGCAGGAACCACATTTGAGAGGATGTTTGTTGTTTGATGTAGCTTAATACAAACAGAGGATTAATGTTATGTTGTAATTAAATAGTAGTTGACTTCCGCTTAGACTGCAGAACTCTTAACCGAGTTGAAAACAGTTGTTCCTCTTCTCACAGTCAAATGAAAACTACTCCTCAGTCTGATTAAGACTTAAGTGTCTCCACTTGGGAATCCACTGGTCTGGAGTGTGTATTTGAAACAAAGGTCACACTCTGGTGCTTTAACTTGCAGCACATGGGTTAGTTATTACTAGTGAGTTACATATTACATATGCTAGTTAATGGCTGTAATGGTTGGAGTGATTTACTAATGAGTAAATGTAAGATCAAAGCATTGAGATGAAATTACATTTAAAGCATAAACTTGTTTCATTTTATATAAATCCGAGCTGCATGTTTCACAAATGTTGCACACAAATATATATATATATATATAACTTGCATTTGTGCCTAAAGTTGCCTCAATTAATATTCCAAGAGAAGCGTTGTGATTGGCTCCTGGCCGCCATGACGTCACACTTAGCTGTGAGGCAAACAAACAAAAAAAATCCTCGGACGGTCTCCCTCTCTCTCCCTCCCTCTCTCCTTCTCTCTCTGCCTCCACAGAAAAAGCCCGTAAAGGCTTGACAGTGACAAGAGTAAACTCATGAAAGAAACCTCACGACGGATAGTTTTAAAGCCGGAGCTTGTGTGTGGCCGTTTTCCCTTTTCCCGACTGTAAGTGTGTGTGTTTTTCAAGAGACTAACACTGGTGGTTCGTAACGCGAAATCCAAGTCGCCGGGATTTCCTCTCATCTCGAAGTTCCCAAGATGAACTTCGGTCCGGTGCTCGGGAAACTTTCTGTAAGTAAAGCACGCCAGTAACTTAACTTATTTGAATGTATATCACTCAATTTGACTAACAGCTGCTTTGTGGTGTCTTTTATTAAACTGCTAATGATGGTTCAAATGTGCCACTAACGTCGGCTGGTCGGCTCTTCCCTGGTACGCGACGCTACAGCGGGACAGTGAAGTAGCAGCGATACAAAGTTGATTCAAAGTGTCGCCGGGATAGTTTTTTATGGACTTAAAAAACACCTTTTAAAACACATTTAAGTTAAAGCCTTAAACCTTTTGTAAAGCTTTCGACTCTTTTAGGGGAAGCTGTGCTGTGTGACATTGTGGGGGGTGGGGGGGCAGAAAATCACGGCCAGGCCCTGTGAACTTGCAGGAGATGAAACAAGCCAAGGTTTCATTGTCCCGCAAGAGCACAGAACAGGAAGCAACAAAAATAATGTGTTTGCTTGTTGTTGATTTAAGTGTTTATTTGCAGATAAAATGCACTCATCTGAAGCCCCACCACCCCCCCGGGTTTTCTGTGCTCAGTACAGTACATGTGCTGTATCATTCACTAACCCCCCCCCCCCTCCTCTCTCTCCACTCTCAACATTACAACCACCATCTGTGTTGGACATCATGTGGTCATATTGTTCAGACACATCAGTATATGATGGCTCTCGGTCTGTCCACAGCGGATGTAGCTGGCAGTATGGGCGCTATTAATAAGTGCAGGGCAGCTATGGCCTGCTGTGAAGTGCACTCCTGCTCATACAAGCTTTGTGAATCAAATAGTGTGAGGAGAAGCATGAGGTTTTTTTTTAGCGAGCATGTCTGAGGGTATAATCAGTTTAGACCCCCCCCACCACCACCACCACCACCACCAAAAAAAGCCAAGAATTCACCTTGCCAGTTAGTCAATTAAAGCCGCAAAGTCACTCAACAGTTTTTCCAGCAAAGTTTATTCCAGTCAGACCTTCACAGAGACGTCTTTTCATTCCTCGCTGTTGTTTTTCCAGCTGTGCAGCCACAAAGACTGACACTAAAAATGCTCTATGTTCCCTGCGCAGCTTAAAGCGTAACCAATTCATGAGTGGTTCTTTGGAATAATGCAAAATATGTGAATGATTGTTTTTTTTTTTTTTATGTAGGAACACATATTGTATGCAAATTCATGTCTGGGTTGGCTTCCCCATGTGTTTTCCTCTCTTGTTTACATTACAGTACGAGATAAGAAGCAGGAAGATGAATCAGAGGATCGTAATGACAGGGCAAATGAAGGCATGGCTTGCCTTTTGTGGCTTATAAAGGTCAATTAAATGAAGAGTGTTACTCACTAAACTACAGTATTGTGGCCTTTGATCCAAGATGCCTACTGTAGCTCTGCTTACCATAAATGTAGCTCTTTAAGTAAATGCAACATCTGCTGATGTGCCTGGAGCTTATTGTTTGTTTTCTGCGATGTCTGATCTGTGTTCTAAGTCATGCAGCTCCTCCATTACTGAAATCAGATTTACTTCAACGGGTGGCAAAGTCAATGTTTATCTCTTCTGTAAACCACAGTACATTCTGGAGGCCGCGCCAGCAAGCCTTGTTGCTAAGGGACTATGAGGAAACTTCAACCCCCCCCCCCCCCCCTCCCTTCCTTCCCCCTTCACTAATCCCCCCCTACACACACACACCCCTTCAAATTGCCTGAGTGTACGTGCCTGGCCCTCCAGTAAACTTCCTGTCTAGAGTACACAGATGTGCTGATATTAGTGGCATCAATTTACTTCTGAGAATTGTCATGCCCATGCAAATGTACACAAGATAGTTATCTGTGATTGCTTACGAAGTGTCTGGGTGTTGGTTCACACAGGAAATATCCCTCTGTGTCTCTGTGGACAACACAGACAAGGGCAGGACTGACATTTGGGACAAGTGGAGGCCAGACTGTGTCGCTGGGGACTGAGCAGCGGTCAACAAATTGGCCACTCTAGAGTTCTTAATACTGTAACTATTGCTTATTGCTGCTCTGCATGGTGACCATGTGAACAGCTATAACCGAGCCTGTGCCTTAGAGGAGCTAAATGGACTCTGAATGATGCAATGGGATGCAACCAACAGTCAGATACCAGGTGGTTGTGTGCCTCTTTATGTTTGCCTGACACAGTTTCCACCCAGGTATTTGTTCCAGTGAACCGGCATAGTCTGTGATGTTTTATTGCTTTTTTTTTATCAACCGGTTGTCGTTGTTGTTGATGTGAATCACTCCAGTTATCAAAGACCTGCTGCTGACTCACCTAGGGAGTGCCACCTGTTCAGGTGGAGCCCACTCACATGATGCATTCCAACAGGGGCAAGTCAGAGCTCACACTCGAATGGTCCAGCGTTGAGATAAGTGCTGATAATTTAGTGTGTGTCAAAGATCACTGGGTAGACGGATTAACTTCTTATACATGTTTTTTTTTTTAGACCAGAGTAGCTATGAACTAATTCCATATCACACACAGTGTCAGGAATTTGCTAAGTACTTTGAGGTGCAATACTCTCCCACATACAGTCCCATGCGTACAGAAGTCAGCTGATGGGTCAAATCACATGAGTTAGATGTTCACTGTCCTCTTTGAGGACATTACACTAGGAATGGACAGTGATTGCCACAGGGTGCAAAGCTAATCTCAACTTCTCCTTTCTTTAAGCTATTCCGTTCTTTTTATATATTTGACCTGTTTTCCATTGTTTTAAGATGCAGAAGGTGGTAGCTGTTTTGTCTTATGGGGCGCATTATGTATGTGATACATATTTGATAGTATATTTAAACAACAGGAAATCATAAAGTAGAAGGAAATCACTGTTACAAAGCTGTTAGCTCTTCAACTATTTCAATAATCCATTAAATATTTCAGTCATTTGTTAACATTCTCTGGTCCCAGCTACTACAGGATTTGTTGCTTTTCATCGCTGTATACAGAATATCTTTGAGTTATGCACAACTGATTGGAGATAAGACGCAGGATTCATCAACTTGTGAGAAATTGTGATAAAGTTTGGACATATAGCCCAAATGATTGATTGATAATAACTGTTAGTTGCAGCCCTACTACTACCTAAGCATAAATCAAGTAGAGGGGAATCACTGTTAGAATATGACACAACAGCAAAGTGTGTATTTCAGTCACCAATTAGTCAATCGACTGAAACGCTATTTAAAATACTGACTCATGGTTTGAATCACTCTTCAAGCAAAAGCTTCTAAATCGTGAATATTTACTGCTTTTCTCTGTTTTATGTGATCATAAACTGAAAATCTTTGGTTGAGCAAAAAATTGGCCATTTTTCACTGTTTCCTTCTAGACCAAACAATTAATTGAGAAAGCAATCAGCAAATTAGCTGATAATGAAAATTAGTTACAGCCCTATATTTCAAACATAAGAGCTGGAAAATGTTGCACTGACTGTAAGAGGGCTAATTCTTTTTATTAGCAATTAATCTGCAGATTATTTTCTCAATTGAAGTGCCCTTCCCAATTTGCCAAAGCCCAAGTTAACATATTCAAATTGTTTGTTTTGTGTAGCCAAGAACATCTAAAAGCCAAAAATCTTCAATTTCTGCTGAAAGAAAACCAAAAAAATAGCCCATATTCACATTTGAGAAGTAGAAATCTGCTATAATGTGCTATATCCTCTGACTTCCTGCTCTCCTGAATGAAGTGTTGAGTCTTAGAACAAACTCAACCTTTGTCCAGAAAATGGACCTCTGTTTACAAAGACATAAATCCGACATAAATTCCAGCTATTGATGGTCACTTAAGTCCCTGTTGCCCTGCTACACCAGCCACATATTCTACATTTTTGCTGTGATATGTTTATAGAGAAGGCTATAAACTGCCAGCGCTTCATGGCCTTTTTTTTTTCCTTTTACACAAAGACGAGCTTTAATGGAGCTAATGTGATTGTCTCTAGAGCGAGGTGATGGATTCCTGCACATACTTTAATCTATTAGTCATCCTTTCTTGCTCTTTTCATTCTGTCCCTCCTGGAGTTGTCTTGTGAGTTGCCTCTCAGCGTCTCTGTGAACGGCCTAATCACAATTTGAAATGGCTAAGTTAATTGCCCTCCTGCACACAAACCTCTGAAATTTAATTTGTGGATTGCCGTTCACATCCAAAGTCCTCGCCTGTCCCTCAGTAACATGCTATATGACTCACAGTGATGTTGTGTGCATGCACAGCAGGCAACTTGTAGAAACCACAGAGTACTCACAACCCCAACAAATCAGAAAAAGTGTGTCACACTGCACCTGCTTACATTTCTTGAACTTTCAGCAGCCCCCTCTCTTTCAATCATGTCAACATCAACGTCACGAGTGTCATGTCACAAACTTGTGGTTGCCGGTTGACTGCCAGGAAATTCATTAAAGCTGTCGTCATCACAGATTTCTTTTCTCTGGTATAAAGGTGAATGTCACCTAACCTGCTTGTGACACTGGTCTAATCAGTGAAGCATACCTCCTGAGGAAACTCAAGAATTTGTGTCGTGGAGCTGCAGCTTCCCTCAGTTATAAATATCCAGCCTAACGGATATGTTGTGGGTCTAATCGGGTGCCGGGCCTGCTCAGAGGCAGGCTGCTGTGGAGGGAACAGTTTGGAGCTGAACCCTGCATGAAGCCTCTGTATTGTCTTGAGCTTCCTGTGCTCCCTGAGAGGAGGGGGCAGCCGCTTTTCACACGCTCCCATACATACACTGTAGGCGTGCTTGCGCGCTCCATTGTGTGCGTATGCTCGTGTGTCTTCTTCAATGTGTGTGCGTAGTTTTTGTGGTCCAACAATGTGGCTTTCACACCAACTGCTCGAAATTGACATGGGAGTCGTTCTTTTCATTTTATATCATTTAGCTTTATAGTGATGAATGTATCCGAGCTTGGCTGAACTTTGGATTTATTTACGGCACTGTAGCAAGTGTCAGACAGCTTTCACTTGACATAAGCTGGGTTGTACTTCATCTTCTAACACAGAATGTCAGTCTAATTTATCACTCAAGGAAAGTTGTGCATGGGCACCCCGTCTCCGGGGAATACTTTATCTATAAAGCAGAGAGCATTCACTGTACTGTCAAGGTCAGCCTCGGGAGATTTAAAAGTACAATACCCAACTGTTCCAGTAAGATTTCACAAATAGTTACTGAAAAGACTGCAGGGTATAGATCACATTAAAGTCTCATTTAAGACATCGTAAATAATAAGTTGGTGTATGCTGGTTAAATTAGAATAATGTTAAAAACCAATGCCAAAGTAATATTGCACATTGGGTTTCACCAATAAAATAATCATATTATAGAAGATATCTTGTGTTGCAAGACAGCGTTTCTGTTATATTTGGTATTTTCCTGTTAACTTTGTGTTCAGGTTTCACTTTATCAGTTGTGTTAGGTCAAAAAGATATCTGAATTCTTCGTAACATCATAAATTGGGACTTATTTATTCAACTAGACAAAACAATTAGACCATTAGTCACAATTAGACAAGACAATTGAGCAGTTCTGGGAAGGTAATGGTAAATACTGTAAAAACCTTGACATGTGTAAATGTTTGGCCTTGTAAAGTCCAGTCAGTCAGAACACAGATAATTAGCTGCAATAGAGAACAAAGGATTAATCAATTAATCGATTAGTCGTCAGAAAAAGTGGCACACAGGCTCCGGTTCCAACATCTAAAGTGTGAGGGTTTGCTGCTTTTGTTTGGCATATAGCAGAGTAAACTAAAAAGCTTTGGGTTTGGGGCTTTTAGTTGCACAAAAAAATTCTTTGAAGTTTCTGGGGAGGAATTTTCTACATATTTTTTCACATCAAATAGACAAAACAATTAACCAATTAATTGAAAAAAATAACAGGTATATTCGTCAATAATGAAACACCACGAATTGGGAATCATTTATTCAATTAGACAAGAAAACGGTCACAATGAAATAAGACCATTGAGCAGTTCTCATTCGGTAATAGTGTTATTTTTTGGCTCTTCAGTCAAGCAGAAAATAGATATGAGACTAACTGTGCAACACACCAACTTGCTGTTAACTGACTGAGAGACGATCACTGAGCATTTCACTGTTAAACTCTGACATCAGTTGTGGTAATAACCCATGGCAGCTGTAATGTAGATACTATTACGTCCGGCGGTATGAGATGGTGGGGGATGTTTCTCCTCTTTGTGGTTGCGGAGGCAATTGAAGACTGAGCTTTGGTAAGGTCAGTAGAACACACAGGTTGTTGACATTTGAACTGAGGTAAACATTTCATATCTGAGTCATTTATTTAAATCAGCAGCCATGACAAAAAAAACATGTTTTTGAGTCCTTAAGTCCAATATCCCCAGGGAAGAAAAGGCGAAACTCTCTGTAATCCATGTTTCTTCTACAGGAGCTCTTTTCCTCTCTGTCATGTTGTTTGAAAGCATGGATGTACAATATCGGCGCTATCACAAATGTCCCATAATTGATTAAAGAAAAGGATTGGCTAATAAGAAAAGCATGATATGGAGAGTCAGGTCCTACTCCGGATACAGGAGTATAATGAGGTACATCATGTCTTTCCTTATCAGTTAGCTATGATTGAAATCATCTGTCCAATATGAAATGAAGAATCTCTCTTGGTTCATCTGTGTGTGTGTGTGTGTGCTGTGGATGTGCAAGAGTTCATCACATTTTCTGTTTTCTGTTTCCTCCCTTTATTTTTCTAATAGAGCTCACTGTAATTCCCTCAGGGATAAGGAGTGATCACAGCCCTCTAAATGGCCCATTGATAACCTAGGTCAACTGAAAGGATGTCCTGTCATTTAGTCACAAATGCATTCTCAGTGTACATGGCATGTGTAGAGATTGTGCCAGGGCAATTTGGAAGAACCCAGGGTGTTTAGGGGAAGTGGAGGGGAGCTACTGTTGTCACATAAACAGAGGCTCCCTCATTATTTTATTGTAACTTTTATTAGTTTAACTTGCATGGCACTAGCCTACCAAAGCATGACAATCGGACACTGTTTTAACAAATAATCTGCGGCCAAGCCCAGTCATTGCGCGGAGGATAGAGAGGACTGTGAAGTGGACTGAACCACTTCAGCCCGGGGTTGGAGAGTTTCCAGGGATTGTGGGTTTGGAGGGCTTTCTACACTGAGGTTACAGTCACTCCAGTCTTCCTCCTCGCTTGGTTATAGAGGTAAAACTAAGCCACATTGTGGCTGCCCATAGTCTTTATGTATACATTTATGCCTATGTAGTTTCGCGGCCTTAGGGCATTAGTGTGGACACATGTAGATGGTGTTGTCAGTTCTCGTCTGCACGCAGGCTGTGTTAGAGACATACTGAAGTTACTGAACTGTGTTTATTACAAAATAAAAGCTGTAAGATTGTTTTTTAATTCCCACATGCAGAAGTGATTATGCAGTAGTATGATTCTGCCATCCTATAAAATCCACTCCCTCTTTAAACAATTCTCAGTAACAATAACAAATTCTGCTGTTTGTTCTCTTAGCTGAAACTATTACTCAAATGAATCGTCACTTATTTTAAAAATAGATTAAGTCACTTCCAAAAAAGCCAAATATTAGCGAGCAGCAGCTTCTTTATTATGAGGACTGGCTGCTTTTGTCTGTTTTATATCACTGGAAGCTGTATGTTTTTGAGTTTTTGGACTGTTGTTGGGAAAAAACTAGACATTTGAAGACGTCACCTTGGGGTCAGGGAAATTGTCATGGGTATTTTTCACCATTTTCTCACGTTTTATAGACCAAAGGATTAACTGAGGAAATAATCAGCAGTATAATAATAGATGGTAGCAGCCCTACCTCTCTTTATGGATCTTCTGTGTACAACCTTCAACTGCAGAGAACAACAGGTTAGCTATTGAGGGCAGCTGCACCTGGGAGTGTTTTGAATCACAGCCCCTGAAATGAACAAAGACTGGAAATGATGTCATCTCTGTGCCGTCTCTGCATCTTCACTGTCCAAGAGACACCTGAGTTTTAACTTTTGATTAGCCGTAGTGAGTAATTAGCTGCTTGCGCCTGTATAAATAAACTTTTGGACATCCAGTGCAATTTCACATTCTACTTCTGCAATGTAGAAGTGTAGGATTACACACTCATTCTTTCCCAGTTGTCCTTTTTCCCCCCATCTTTTTCTTTCCACCGTTTTGTCGTGCACATGCACAACGCAGATTTTTTCTCTCTTGCCTTTTCACACGGCCTTCTACTTACTCTTTCCCCACTTCCATGTCTCTCTACGTCCCCCACCCTGCAGTCATACACATGGTGTATTCAAGTCTAAAGACTCACCCTGTGTCATGCAAGCTGTTAGTCCCCCCCCCTCTCTCTTTTTATCTCCCTCCCCTTTCCTCTCTCTCTCTTCTCTGTCCCCCCCCTCCCCTCCGCAGAATGTTTGGATAGATCTAAATGGTGTGATTGTGACTGCTCTGCCGGCCGTCTGCCCCTCCACGTCTGCCTCTCAGCGTCTTTGGAAAGTCTGACGTGAGCAGAGTGAGAGGAAGAAGGGAAAAGGCAGAGAGAGAGAGAGAGAGAGAGAGAGAGAAAGGGGAAAGTTCTTTTGAACAACAAGGCATGGCGGCCCTCCAGAGAGCCAAGTCTAGCGTCAGGAGTCAGTCTCAGCTCCAGCCTGTCCCTCTTTCTCTACCTCTATCTATCTGCTCTGTCTTTATTCCTCTCATTCTCCCACACTGTCTTTTTTAAACAACGTATTCCCTGCAGAACATCCCATCCTCAACTCGCTGTCTACAGTTTCTCACTTTGAATCAACCCTCCTCCTCCTCTTTCTCCCTCCCAACCCGGCCCTCTCCTCCCTAACCTGTTCCTTTCTCTCCTGGTGTAGCAGAGGTGGACGGGGTGGTGGTGGGGCGGGGTGCACAGGAGAGACAAAACCTCCAAAATCTAGGCCTCTCATTTACCCAGGAGGTGTCGCATTGCGTTTGAGGCGCTTCACGGCGGTGTCACATGTCGTGGCATTCAAAGAGCCGGGGTTTAAGAATGTGGGTCATTTGAAGTAGAGGCACTAAAGTGTGTTGTTTGCCAATGAAAGGGGCCTTCTCACATTGACATGGTGAAAAGCGTGTGAATAAACACCAGCGCCTGGGGGCCACACTAAAGTGTTCGGCTGTATTCTTCTCAGTACCCCACCTATACAAGCCTGTTATTATCTAGCACATGAATGGATTTTCGGGAATCACATTTGATATGGGCACCGTGCTGGTGTTAGGTGAGATGCCTTATCAAACCCTTTCTGTTCCAGCAACTGTAGAGGCAACGGAGTCTCTGCTTTTTAAACCTTTCCTACAAGAAAACCAGATCATGGAGTAATTAGGTTTGGTTGCCTGTTGCGCTGCATGTAGTTAGCGTATAGCTCTGCATCCTGCACACACAGGGTTGTTTTGCCTCCAGTTCCGACTGACTGGATGGCTCCCTTAATTGCTTTCCCACGGCAGATGTTCAGATCAGATGGTTCAAATTAAGTCGTAGATTGCTCACACAAGGTTTCCTATGAAGATAGACTCTCCTCTTTACTGTCCTTCAGCTAATGTGATTGAGTGGGTGAGTGTATACTGTGGATACACAAAAATAATGCAAAGCCTTTGTCTCCCCCCCCTCCCTTCCTTCTCTCCCTGACCTTGGTGATTCAGGTGTTGGTGGCAGTTGCCCTCATCGGGCTGGTTTGTCACGCAGCAGAACTTCCAGCATCTCAGTGGTCCAGCGATGAATACAAAAACCTCACCCTCCGACGACCCAGAACGTGTGTCGAGAATGAGCAGTACCTCCACCAGGGACTCTGCTGCCTCAATTGCCAAGCTGGTAAGGAGAATCACATTAAGTAGAATACAGAGTAGCTATCACAGCTCCAGTTGCAACCAAACACATAAGCAACAAGGGCCTGTATAAGTACATCTGCTGCAACAACCTGTAAAGTTGTAGCATTTCCTGTATCCTAAAAAATCTTTTGAGTGCAGGCTAGAGCCAGCAGTTAGACTGGCATTTTGTGTGAAAAAGTCAAATGTCAAATCCATAACCTTAACTGTATCCCAAATGAGTTTTACAAATATTCTCTGCCTGGTCTGGAAAGAATGCATAACGGGCAGCAGCAGAAGGCAAACTGTTCCATCTCAGCAGATCAGAGTGAAGAGAAAAGTGCAGAATATGAAGCAGACGTTATTTTTAAGTTCCAAGTAATTACACGTACCTACCCTTTTAATTTATTATTTAAAGAATTTGGTAAGGCTGTTAATGTTTTTTTGGTTTTTTGAGCTCAGAACATATTTAGCCAAGATGCAATTACTGCATGCTGCTGCTAGCTGATTGAATTATTTAATTTGCCATTCTGAATTCTAGGAAAGTGCTTTTTTATTTGATCAAGTCAAGTTTTGGTTTTGCTTCACATTCATCAAATAATGCTTTATTTAAAAAACGCATGGTGCTTCATCAAATTATATGTGCACGAACATTTTAAAGTAAAAGTATTTAAAGCCTAAAGGTTATTTTTGTTGTGTTGTTTGTGTCAGTTTGACTGTGAAAACCTTCAGGCCTACAAATCTAGTTGTGGTACAGCAAATCAGTAACAATGGAAATGAGGCCTTTAGAAAATCAGATTCAGACAGAGACAAAACTATAAAGTGTATTTATGGGAGACAGAGAATTAACAAATATTAACTGATAAAAACAGAGAAAAACGTCTTGGTTGTGACACTGTCCTGAAGAAATATCTTTGTTTGTCTTGGGTTTTATGTTTTTCCCACTTTTGTGATTTCGTTTTCTTGCATTCTTGCCAGTTGGTCAGTGGTTACCACATCCGTAAAAACCACTGTGACCACTCAATTGTATGAAATGTTAGCTTGTTGCCTCTTTTTGTAAGTTATGAGCTTTTATTTAACCAGGCGGGATTCTTTATTGCCTGGATGCACATTGAATATCAGTTTTGCCCACACTTAACTAGAGCTAAAACAAACTATTACTCCTGAACCAACCACAATACCAATACTCTGTGTTTACTGAATACTCAGTGTGGTCAACCAGAGATGTCTTTGCTTCTGATGTATTCCTCACATTCTCTGCTGTGTCCTTTTTTTATTTGTGCATCATGTAAATCCTGAAAACACGACAATCAAGTGTTTTTCATTCATGGCATGCGAGTATAAAAATAACTTCCTGGAAACATGTCATCTCATGTAAAACAGTGAATCATGCACCCCCCCCCCCCCAGCTCTTCAATTTTGTCAAATCAAACTGCCCTTTTCTGCTTAGCTAATATCCCATTGGTTTACAGTACACATAGCACAGTGTGAGCTGTGGTATGTCCTGTCCCAGCTTCCTACTTCAACAGGAAACGCATCACATTAATGACGTCAAGATTCACAGGGCTGGAATTGTCCCTTTATTATATTTATCACTTGAGTTGTTGTTTGACCTTTTTTTGTTTTATTTGCAGGAACTTATGTGCACAAGGAATGTGAAAGAGACCAAGAACAAGGGAGCTGTCTTCCCTGTGACCCTGGACAGACGTACACAGAGCACTCCAATGGGATGTACCGCTGTTTGCCCTGCACACACTGCCGCTCAGGTAACCAGATTGTCTGCATCTTGACCTGTGTTTCATGATATCTTAACAGTCAGTGGGAAGGATTAAGGTCTGTTCAGCCAAGTATATTGCTATACTATATTAATTTACTATATTTGTTTTCATTACCGATTCATTTTCAATTGGTTATTTTCTTCATTAATCAATTAATTGTTTGTTCTAAACAAAGAGTCAACAAATAGTACAAGAAGCCCATTACAAGTTCCCAGAGACCAAGTTTACCATTCCAGAAGGCAAAGAAAACCTGAAAATATTCACAGTTTAGAAGCAGGAACCAGTGATTTTTCTATTAAAATTGACTATTACTTTTCTTAAGAATTCAATAATCAATTAAACTACTTGTTAAGACATGTCTACTGTAGCAGCAACAGTGCCCTGTAAATATGTGTTAACAACAACTACAGTAAGTATGTCATGTCGGGTTGAACCAGGAAATAGCTTTGTCCAATCTGAACACTAAAAATAGGTCCCAGGTTGTTAAAAAAAGAAGAAAAGAAATGAAATAACACCTAACTGGATTGCCCTTTAATTCAAAAATACTCTTCTGTAATCCAGTCAGTCAAAGATATATTGTTTGGGAAAGTCAATACCTTTTTGTCTGTGCCCCCTCCTTTCAGACCCACTCATGAAAATGTGATCTTATGATGTTACACGGAGTAGTAGGGCGTGTCTTTGTTGTTTTGTTTCGTGGGATAAATGTGAGTGTGTTACCTGTCTCAGGAGATTTGCTTGTGTGTCTGTCTTACCTGGCTGAACTGGGTGTGGCTGTGTCCCATTGTCTCCCACACTGGGCGTCTTTGTGTCCAGTGAAAGGCTGGAGCTACAGAAAAGAGACTACTGTTACATAGGATGTGTTTTGTGCTCATTCATTGCGGTTTTAAGATGGAGCTTTGTGTGTTTTGTTCTCGTTTTAACTTATTTATGACCATGTAATAATTAATTGGAGCGCGGCAAAGGAAAAGTGAATTCAATTTTGAAAAGTTTGCTGCGGACTACTTGCACTTGAAGTGAACTGCGCTGCTATCTGCTTCACTTCAGAAGCTCCTGTTTAGAAATATCCTATATTGACAAGGCTAAAGTGGATTGACTGAATCATTTATGATACCAGATAGAGCTTTACTATCTTTGAAGTTTAAACTATGGTTTCACGTGTTGGCTCAAAAAAAAAAAACCTTACGATGAATGATGTGTAGGGGATTTCACCTGTGAAAGTGTTTCTTTTTTATACACTGCATAAATCACTGATTAGACAGGAAGTACACAGAAAAGGCTATTCATATTCAGATTGGGTTAAACAGACACTTAACTCTGATTTTGTGCCTTGGAAGCCCCACCCCAGCACACAGAATTATATAAAGCACCTGCCAATTTAATAAAAAAAATAACATAATCAAGAAATTATAGTGTATTCCCCAAAACACCAGCTGCCTAACTGGTAGTTGAGTATTGACTTGTTGCCAGTTTGACACTTCCGGATGTTCTTTTTTTTTTTTTGTTAATGGAGGTTTGGGTTTACCGTGACTCAGATCCTATTTAGAGCTTTGTTCCTCTCCTCTGCATGTGTTACATTCCAATCAGCCATTCAATACACATTTTTAATGTAAGAATGAGCTTCTTCAGCACAGCATGAAGGAAACAGAGAGTGCTGCGGTGTCAACAGCTTGTAAAATGGCTCCACTGCCAATAAAACTAACACGCAACAACAAAACATCATTTTCTAGCTTGATGGAATTACATAAATAGCAATAACAAACTTGACAAAATGGAGCAGATTAAGTCACTGAACAATGTCATCAGCATGTTCAAAATCTAACAAAGTCAGCTTTGTTTAACTACTATTGTATTTAACTGTTTGTACACTGTATACTCTCAGGCCTTTTTTCTTACAAGGAACTTTCTTTTAAAATCAATAGGATCATTGTGAGAAACATCGCAAAATTCTAATTTTTTATGTGAAATATTTTCACAGTTAATCAGTTGTTATTTTCAAACATTTGTGTGCTCTACAATCACTAAGATGATAGTGTGCTGCAGGGCTGAGCATTTAACAGCCATGCAATAAGTCTAAATCGTCCCAGAGTGTCTTCAGAAATGAACAAAATAGCCCCTAGGAAATTGTTTTGTATTGGAAAATTGTCATTATATTTTGATTATATACCATTAAAATGATAACAATCGAACCCATTGTCCCAATAACTTGGCATAGGTAGCAGTCGAGAAGTGCTGTGGTAATCTCAGCAGTGGTCTGTATGGAAGTGTTTGTGTATAGTGAGTGCAGACACTAGCCAGGAAAAAGCTCAGAAAACAAGAACACAAGAGGAAAGGACAAGGAAGAGTTCACTATAACTCATAAGATGTGCCAAAAGAACGCACCATGAGCATGTTACATAAATAGTAATGTCTCTTGCTTGCCTCATGCGACTTCTAAAAATATTTACTTTAAAAGGATTTGGAAAGAAAAAATAGATAAGGCACACAGTTTTGAACAAAACATGCATCTCCTTGCTGACAAATTCATGGTCTGTTTACATCCATACAAGCCAAGTTGTTGTCTTGAGCCATCAAGTCATTCCATATAGTCATAGTACATCACATGAGCGATGAGTAGTATAAGTAACAGCTGTGATTATATATATATATATATACAGGTCCATTTAACTTAACTGAACTGAGGTCATTAAGATCATTACATTGATAGTTACTGATAATTAACGGCAGGGGAGACACAAAGAATTCAGTGTGGAGAGAGCCTGAGAGAGGACACACACTGGAGACTTCAATCTCTGTTAACTGGCTGGGATAAGTAAACTCCATTTGATACTTGACTTCAAACTTATGAACAGATAAAGACAGAATTTCTCCTGCTGGCCTACCTTCTAAACTATTTCCTACTGCAAGTGTTTGTGAGGAGATGACCGATTGTGGACTTTGTATCCTGGGCAAAATTCTCACCTGTGGAAAGGTTGACTAAACGTGTGTCGTCATTGAGGTCATAAAATAACACAACCTCGTGCTCTAAATGAATATCTGAAAACTACTTTACAGAATTCTTTTAAACTAGAAAAAAAAAAGGACTGAGCTGAATTGTCTGAATACATTTGTAAGAAAATTACTGTGGAGAAGATTTTAAGATACAGGAGTGTGCTCGCAGTTTGTGTTCCCTTAATTGGCAAGCATGGACATCAGATTTCCATGAAAGGTCATCCTGTGGAGGTAGAATGCTGGTTTGTTATTAGTTTTGATTGTATCCTAAAGGCCTACTGTCTTTTTGGGGTCTCAGTTTAATAAATGAACTATGCCAGATTCTCCATCCCTCATTATCCTGAGGAAGACAAAATTGGAAACCCAATTATCTAACTTTTTGTAAAACATTACCATATAATTTGCTAATGGCGAAGAAGTCCACCATGTTCTCCCCCTTTTAACACGTACCAATGGTCACTGGTTATTTATTAAAGGTCTAAAGCTGCCCGAGAGGTTACACACTCTGAGTTCAAGAGTAATGTGTACTGTTCTCGAGTTGTTCACATCGTATCCATGGCGATCGCTAGATATGTGACACAATGGCTTTCATTTTATAAAACAAAGCAGAGAATAAAGCAAGATATCTTTTTTCTGACACAGATATGATACATTGCTGTTAAATATGTGAATTAATGGACATTCATAGAGTGGATTGATGTTTATATCTGTATAGATTTCACTGGATTTATGTCCCTGGCCCTCAATGTCATGATATTTTAAAAACTTACGTCTTTTTCTATCTACAGATGAGATTGAAACCACATCGTGCACCACAACTACAGACACCAGGTGCCAGTGCAAACCGGGAACCTTCTGTGTCCCAGATCAGGCCTGCGAAGTCTGCAAACGTTGTGCCAAGTAAGTGTAACCTTTTGCCTGAAGTAGTTGTACTATACTACAACCCAATCGCTAGACTAGACCAATGATATCGGGTTCTACAAAACCCAGGATCATCTTTAGTGACAACGTTATTTCTGCGCCTGGGAGCTGCAGTATGGTTGAGGTTAGGGAATGATCGGCAAATAAACTATAGCCACAGTAGAGTCAGGGTTAAGCAACTGAAATACTTGGTTATGGTTAGGGCGAGATAAACATGTCTCCTTCGTGAATGTCAGACTCTCTATATGCCCATCCTTCACCCTGACCTCCACACCCTTACTTTCTGCCTCGCCACGTAAATGGTACACTGCTTCCTGCTTCGGCACTGAGCGCTGGCATTGGGTGTGAAGGTGCCGACTCATCCAATATGAATGTTATTCTTAAGATAATGGGTTGATTCTCTAGAACCCTCGGCATTGCTGGATCTCAATCTTAAACAGCTAGTTCATTTCATTTATCTTGCAAACCAGTTCAAAGCCAGTCCCTGACTGCCAGCAGACTAGAATTGAAATCTTAAGGACCAGCTTGAAGCGCCCATGGTTATAATGTTGTTAGCATGTTTTACTTTCACTGGAAATGTATTTTAATTTTCTACGAAATTACAGGTGTAAACCAGGAGAGGAGGAGGTGAAGTCGTGCACCCCGTTTTCTAACACAGAATGTCGAAAACGGAATCCGTCTCCTACCAAGACCCCCCTAACCCCTTCCACACCAACCCCTACTTCCCCAGCAGACATCGGTAACCTCACCTCACTGTTTCACGAAAAGACTTCTGCTCAACATTGATGGCTATTTTAAACTTTATTGTACATCTTCACTGATTTAGTTCTGTTTCTTTCCAGTTATGCCCATATGCATTTCCCTGGTCATCATCATCTTCTTCATCCTTTTTGGACTGGCTCTGTGGTGGTTCATAATCAAGCATCATTGTGAAATACCATGTGAGTTGACATTGTGCACTGTACCTTTCAATGCTGTTTTGTTTATTAAGGATGTATTCCTAATGCTATTTGTGTGCTTGTAAACAGGTTCAAAGAGCCATTGTGACTCCAGTGAAATCGTGAAGATTCCTATTGTAAGTTATTGTGTTGTGTTCTTTCCTGTTGTGCGCCTTTTTAAAGCTTTTATAATTGGTGCATTATATAATTAGTATTGTGTGCTAGCATTCACAGTATGTCACTGTGTTCTATCTTCCATTCTTCCCTCTGATCAGGATGAGAGTGGAGCCACAGCCGAGGAGAGACAGAACAATCAGAACGCCGGTCTGGAGGGGGAAGAGTCCCGCCCGGAGTCACGGCCCCTGCTGCAGGAGACCCAGGCTGGGATGACCAAGGCCTCCCCTCCCCTCGAAGACGAGGACCGAGGACTGGGAGACAGTCTGCCCAACACCACTAGTTCGTCTCAAACCAGCCTGTCAGCCCTGCCCACAGCAGCTTCTTCTGGAAGTACCCCACACCAGAGCCCCACGGCCTTCAGACTGCCGCCTGCAGACATGGTGAGGGGAAACTGGAGGGAGGAAAAAAGATTTAAAAAATATTAGAAAGATTTTAAATGTTCAAATCATTTGTTTTTGATTCCAGTGTTTCATTTTCAAATTTTAATCTCACATAAAATGTCTCTTATGTTGCAGGATGATCCTCTGCGACATCGACTGGTGCCACTACAAGGTAAGATTCTTGCAGTTGGAGGGAGATTTCCTCCTCTTTTATATATTTTTTACTCATTTCATTAAGCTATTAAGCTATTTTTCATGCCTCTTGCCCTGAAAGGCAGCTGTACACAGAAAACTGCACCGTTTATTACAGTTAATGTCAGTCCACAGTCAAATAAACAGATTCTCCTCAAGATCTCGCATTAGCTGTTTGATAGATTAATAATCTCATGATAGTCAGGCCATATCTAAGCCTTCAGGGGGTTAGAACATGCTGCCTTTTTTTGCTGTTGTTTTTTTCCCATGCTAAATTAAAGAGGACATGGCTTAACAGGTTTGTTTGATCCTCTTGTTAAAATGCTTATGTATGCATACCCCGAAGGAAAATGTGTCCACACTGTGTCCAAGCATTAATTGCTGTATGAGGTTTTTTTTAAAGCATTTAACTTGGTTAGTTAGTGTTAAAAATCCATTAGTCCATTGTAAGACAATATTAATGGGTACATATACAAGTTTCTGTGCAAGCAGCTAACACTGTGCCTCTTTGTGTCTCACAATCTAAATTTGACCTATTCATCTCTGGTTTTTTAAGGGTCAGAAAAATCCCTAAAGAAGAGCTTTGATTTGTTCGACGAGTACCTGGATGTGCGGATCCATAACAAGTTCTTCAGAATGATTGGAGTCAGTGACAACCACATTCGGATCGCAGAGAACGGCGCCCCTGGTGACAAAGTGTATGAACTGCTGAAGAACTGGATGCAGAGGCAGGGACTAAAAGCCGACATCAACGACCTGTTAGAGGCTTTGCTAAGTATGGACCAGCGGCGCTCAGCTGAGAGCATCGCCTCTGCAGCCCTGCAGAGAGGCTACTACAAGTACGCAGACACACCCTGAGAGCTGAAGTAACAGGGACTGCAAATGAAGAAAACCACAAGTACTTAATGCAAGAAAACTAAAAGCACACAGACACTGTCGGTGGACATTGTGTCAGGCGAACAGCCTTACCTCTTTGTGGCTGACCAGCCATGTATTCAAAAGCCAGTAGTTTTAAAAAGAAAAACACAAAAAGGGGAAGGTCGAGCCATATTGATCAGAGCTCTGAGGATGTTGACTACTTGCCAAATACGGAGGTGTAATAATGAAAATGAAGAATACGTTTTGTGGTTAAGTTTAAAGATATTGTGCGACCATGACATTTTTTTTTTTCAAATAGAGCAGAAAAACATGAAGGTGTCAACTTCCACACGCAGAAATGGTTGCACGTTTTAGGCTCTACTGAAGCAACGTTCATCCAAATACTGAAAGCTTAGAAGTCTCTGGGTGTGTGTCACTCTACCCAGATCAGAATACACTACCTGGAGACAAGGATATACACTGGTTTGTAGGAGTGGCATTAGCTGTGTCACAAATACTGTGCCTCTTTGTTGCACTGACCTCTGGCACATGTAGGATTTAAGACTACAATCATGCTATATTTGTTGTTTTGTAGATTTAGGCTTCTCTGAAACCTTATGTAACAGTGTCCATGAACCTTTTTCTGAAGAATGACAGGAAACGGTTGTCCATTTGTTATGACAATGTGCTGCCTTACTAATCATAAACTTTACCTCTTCAGTGCCATTTGATAATCTAAATTTATTTAGCTATACATTTTTATTATGATTTCATGATGGTCATAGAACGTAGTGATTCAGAAATGTCACTTTGTAGAAATGTTTTCAGTCTTTGTCGTCCAGTCTTTTAAATGTTGTGTTACTACACAGACACACACACACACACAACATCATAGAAGGAATTTCACAAGCTGTTTCTGTTGGAGCAACTGTTAATAGTTTAGTCAAATGTATCCATAATGTTTCCATGTAACTTGAGGGTCATTTTATTTATTGACATATTTATTTTAATGAATAATAATTAACTTTCATTATTTATACCATTGCCAAAAATGACCCTGCATAACAAGCACACACTGTGTGCACACATTTGTGTTGTGATTACAACGTTTAGCTACACGGCAAAAAATGACTGACATCAGACTTTTTAAGGTATGGTTGAAACTTGCAGCGTTCAGTTGAAACCTTTTCATTTTTGCTGCATTGTGTTAAGTTTAAGCACCCTGGTCCACACTGTCACTGTATCAATGTTACGTGTGCCATTTCTTCACAAGTGAGTTTCCACTGTGACCACATTCAGCACATTGTTGAAGCTTTCATGATGCTAAATGCAGAATGTGTCATTTCAAATTGGAGTTGAGGTGACATCAATCGCTAAAGAAAATGAGGATTGACCTGTTGAGTCCAACCGTTTGATTAGACTCAGACAAGATGAAGGAAACCTTTTCTGGATTTAACAGGAAGTACAAATTTATTTCCCTAATTCTGTCACATGTACATAAAAATGTCCAGAGAGTGTCCAAGCCTCACAAAGTCTATGTGTATATGTATATATGCAGCTCTATTAACAAACCAAAATGAATATAGTGAGGTATGAAGTTATTGAGAACAACAGAAACACCAACCAGAGCAGTTGGCTGTGGAGGTTGTGACATTTTAAACTAGATTTTGCCCATTTTTCTGCAGTCTCTTATGTATAAAGGAAAGAGTTACAGAGTTATATATTATTGCTCAAGAGTGATGCTACAGTGCTGGCACTGCCATCTATTGACGGACAATGAAAATGCAGCCTGCATCAATTTCTAGGGACCCTGTACACCCCTCTCTCACTTACCATCCTTACCCTTTTAACTTTTTTTTTTTAACGCATCCATTTCTTAGACTTTTCTTTTACAATTCCTCTTTGCCTTTCCTGAAGTAGCATAGCAGTGAATAGACTCCAGTGCATGTTTTGTTCACTCTGTGTCAGTTCATGTGAGTGTAATGTTTTCCTTTTTTTTAAAAAAAAAATCTGTTTTTACTTTTATGTATTTAATTGCAAGTCCTAAACTGTTCAATTAACTTCCTTTTACTTTTGTCAAAACGTTCTGTGCGTTGCCGTTAAGCCATTTCTTCCTTAGTTATTGTTTGCTTGTCATGGATTTCAGATATAAATTATGCAAATACATCAAAGCTGTTTTTATTTCAATTTTAAATAAATGTTTTGTACAGATAATCGTCTTTGAATTGCCTGGAATTACTGATGTTTTCATGTTTGGTTACACATTTTCCAGGGTTCTGTAGATCAAAATGACCACCTGGGCACCCTATCGTCGGTTCACCACTTTTCCTTCCTTGGAGCACTTTTGATGATAGGTACTGACCACTGCAGACCGGGAACACCCCACAAAAGCTGCAGTTTTGGAGATGCTCTGACCCAGTTGTCTAGCCATCACAAGTTGGCCCTTGTCAAAGTCACTCAAATCCTCACGCTGCCCATTTTTCCTCATCCTGAGGACAAAATGTTCACTTGCTGCCTGTTATATCCCTGCCACTGACAGATGCCATGATATCGAGATAATCAGTCTTATTCACTTCACCAGTCAGTGCTCATAATGTTATGCACACTACACATTAAAGGGGAGCGCCACAGATTTTACACTACACTGTACTACTGCATATGTGAAAAAAAGGTTGTATAAAACCCTTTGTTGTTGAAATCTTATGGTGTAAAGTTAGATCACCAGACCTTCCTTGACTCAAGGCTACATTAGCCACTGCTAGCATAACGCACCTGAATCTTCTGTCAAACTGTTGCATTGTGGGTAATGTAGGCACCTGGTTTTGAAGTGGAAGAAGAATGCATTTATTTGGATCCTTTTTGTCCATTATGAGACCAACAATCAGAGTGCTATGCTAAATCTCTTTTAATTAACAAACTTGTTCAACTAAGGTAACAGAAAACAAAGACAGCAATGCAGTATGTGTCAAGACTCAACAACTTAGGGTTAGCTTTAAGATTGTAAAATCATATGAAGCCATGGATTAAATGTTTTACTAAACAGACTACAAAACTCAGTTTTTACTAGTATGTAGTCACTTTAAACATACATACTGCAGCCATTTGAATTGTCTTGCAGTACAGCTGATTAATAAGTTTATTGTAGACAAAACAAATCTACTAAAGGCTATTATGAACTACAATCAGAGGTAGAAGTTGTGTTACTTTGTGTTACTTTGATGGACATTATCACCATATACAAAGTATAAAGCTAAATATATACAGCAAAAATGACAGGCAGGGCCATAATAGCATCAGTATACTAAAGTCCTGTCTATTGAACACATATCAACATCACAAAGAAATGCTTGTATGTTCCCTGCTTATTCATACAGCTTTTAATCTGTGCATTTCCCTCTATACTCTGTCGAGATGTGTCGAGTTGATAATATTCTCACATGGCAGGCTCAACTCTTCTATCAGGACATTGCCTTTTATTTACAGGCCAGCAGGTAAAAATAAACGTCAGCACTGTTAGTTCTTAACTGTATTTGGTCCAGTTTTTCAGTATCAGTGAGTGCCTCAGTGCCTGCCTGACAATTTTAAGTGACTGGCTTTTTTCCTTAAAGTAAGACGTTGGATAAAACTGAGGAGATTTTCACGAGTGTCTCCTTTTTTTCTCATTGTGGAAACATTGTTCTCCGTGTTGTCGTTGTTCCTTTTTCGCCGTTTTTGTCTCTTGTAATCGGGGTAAAAATTATTTTGAACTCTTCTCAGTATGCCATCAAAATAATAGAAATGATCATATTCGTCATCACTGAGAGGACTGTCTTTGTGGTCTCTGATAGATGTGGTCTCCTCGTCTCCTGTATCCGTAAATGCAGCTGCTGGTTCCATTGAGGAAAACATCTTTGATCCCATCCCTGCAAATCGCTCCAGACAGTGTTTCCAACCAGCTTTAGTGCGATGTATTAAACCTCTGCAGAGTGGCATATTGTCATCTGTAGTCTGTGGAGGAGAACCTTTCATCAGTACATTCACTGCTGAGAAATGTGACTCATTTCATCTTACAGTATTACAGGATTAGAGCAAATAACTATATATTAAATCTCCTGTTATTATGCAAAGCACACATTTTCCTCTCCAAGATCAATAATGCATCTGATTATAGTTATTTAAATTATTAACATGCTTGCAGCATATTGCAGTTTTATCTTCATTCAGATCCCCCCTAATGGATATAGCTTTTTTTATCATCTGCACACATTTCCCTCAATTTATTTAGGTAACTCTATCAAAGTTTGACATTTTAGGAAATAAATAGATTCCCTTTCTGGCACAGAAAAAGTCAAAAGTAAAGTTAGAAGAACATATTGATACCACTCCATTAGATATAAAGCTTAAACCAGCAGCCGATTAGCTTAGCTTAGCACAAACACTTGAAATAGGAAAATATCTAGCCTGGCTCTGTTGGAAGGCAACAAAATCTGCCTACCAGCACCTCTAAATCTCACTAATTCACATTTTATATCTCAAAGAAAAACCAAAGGCTAAAAACAGCAGTTGCTTCTTCTATGTGCTGCACTGTTTCCAGGCAACCAGCATAAACTCAAGGAAGTTACTGTCAAAAAATAATCCCTAGGAAGTGGTTTTCATAGGGATTTAACAAATTAGATATAATGTGTTAATTAGTGAACTTAAACTGTGCTATTAGCAGGATTTTGTTACCTTTGGACAAAGCCGGGCTAGTTGTTTGCCCCGTTTTCACTCTTTGTGCTAAACTAAGCTAATCTGCCAGAAAGCGATTAAATGTATTTCCCAGAATGTGGAACCATTATTTTACTTTTACTTGGACTGTCATAGAAGTCTGGTACTGTAACTTCACTTACTTTAGGAAGCATGGCTTGTTTGTGGATTATTTGTGATGGTTTTGCAAATCTGAATGAGTTCACTTTTGGATCCTTTTGGTCTTCTTGTCTTTCATTTGCTGGCCTGTTTGTTGCCGCTCTTTCTCCATCCTCTGCGCCTTCGTGCAATTTGGTTATATCTGCCAGGACGTCTTCTCTCATCCTGAGGCCCGAGAATAACTTTTCAGTCGGAGCTTGTACATTATTATTCATTTCCCATGTTATGAATCTGGGCTCAGTCTCAGATTCTGGACTCATTGTGGTCACTGGGGTCTTCTCTGTACTTGGCAGTCCGTATGCGTTCTGTGTGCTGTCTTGATTGAAGACTTCGGTACTCGAAGTTGTGTCTTTTATCTCCATGTTTACTGTAGTTGTCTCCGCCATAAGCTCAGTTTTTGCAGTTTCTGTTTCCATCGTTTTGAGCGAGGGAGGTGAAGGTATGACGGATTCTTCTGATGGAACATTTTCCTCTTGTTTAGTATTATTTATGCTCATATTTTCGTGAGGTGTGTCATTAGTCTCTGTTTGCTCTATTTTCTCTCTCATTTCTGCGGTCTGTCCCTCAGTGTATGCAGATGCTGTAGTTACTTTAGCTGCACTTTCTGCTGGTTTTATATCCATTCCCTCTGTTCTATCCAGTGCATGTATTTCTACTGAAAATGGGATTTCTGTCAAGCATTGACATTTTGAGTTATCTGGTTCAATATTAAAGTTTTCCTTAATAACGTCAGTCATGGGTGGGGGGTTTTCCAGCTGCATTATGGGTATATTTACAGTTTTCCAGCCAGTATCTGTGTTCAGAATAAGTTTTCTTTGCAATAATGGCTCTGTTTTTGCTTCTCTCTCAGTGTCTGGAAGGAATACCATGATTAAGACTTCTCCCACCTCAGTAAGCATTTGCTTGTGATCAACATTATTATCTGCTTTATGTGTAGAGTCTGCTTGTAAAATGTATGCTAATCTTTTCTGGTTTCCATTTTCAATAGTATTTGTATGTGATTTTTCTGTTTCACGTTCTCCCTCCGGGCGTCTAGACTCTGCTTGTTTTGTGATTATTTTTCCACTTAAATCCTCTTTATTATTATGAGTACCCCTCATCTTATACTGCAGTCTATTTATGGATCCTGTCTTCTCTCTGGAAACCAACAAGCGTTGCCTCTTAATGTAGAATCCGTCATCTTTATACGCACCAGATGCATCTTTTAAAGATTGTTGCCTCTGAACACTTTTTTGCAACAAGGGCTCGTCTTTCCAGTTCAAATGTTCATTTTTCTTAATAATTCGGACTGCTTTTCTCTGAATCTCTAATTGTGATATATCAGAAGTTTTCACTGAAGAGCTGCCAGAGTGCAGAGTAGCAGCTTGGAAAATGTCATGTTGACTGAGTGCAGCATTTGAAAGCTGTTGTCCATCAGGCTCCATGGGAACTTTAATGTCCATGGCTCGCTGTGTGCTCTCTTTTTGTCTTATTTGTGGTTGTGCCATCTGTTGTTTGGATACTTTCTTGATGTTCAGCGCTGATCTTATTTCACCCTCTTTAAAACAGCAGGAAATAATATTTATAGTTGTGGCAGTGCAGCATCTCTTTGTCAGCATTTTCTGCAGTTGAACAATGGTGGCGGGTACCCAGCTTTTGGATTTCTTCAGTAAGAAAGCCTGAAAATTGTGGCCTGGGGCAGCTGTGCGATGATGGCGTAACCATGCAGACCCCGTATCTGGGTGATCTTTTATTATATCCATGGCAATATGACTGGTTCCACCGCCAGCCTTAGTCGACGTGACCTTGCTAATAACATGAAGCGCTGGTAGAGTATGGGGCTTCACCAGAAATGCTGGAACACTTTTTTCCTTCACCTGAACAGGAAAAACAACCTGGAGTGGCAGAAGAGAGACAAATGCATGAGCTTTAACATAAAAACACTGCTGGCCGTATGGCTCTAGGGGCATCAATACCCGGTCCACAGCTTTGATCCAGACTAAAGTATAAACGATGAGACAGAACGCCATGAAACTTTGGGTTTGGTTCATGGGCCTCAGAAAAAATGTCTCAATAAATATTGAATGGATTACCACAGAATTTGGACATTCAGTTTCCCCTCAACTTGTCAT